TCTGCAGCCTGGTCCCTAAGACAAGGAACATTTTTGAGAAGACCTCATAAGTGCAACAGTAGCTTAATAGAAAAGAATTTACGGTTATCATTTAGGATTCTTCTCATCCCCTAGTTGTTATCTTCAAGGAGACGCTTTAGACAACCACGGGCAAGGAAAAATGTGGATCAGATGTCGTTTGTGCCAACTGCCATTAGAATATTAAACAGTCAAAAATGTGTCTATATGAATAGGTGTGTATATATATATATATATATATATATATATATATATATATATATATATATATATATATATATATACACACACACACACATACATATGGGAAAGTATATATATGTGTGTGTGTGTGTATGTTGAAGTATAATGTATATTTGAGTTTTAGCTTTTTATATTGTTTTTATGTACTTTTGCTTTGTTGTTTTTTACGTTGTTGTGTTGATGTCCTTGTTTATACTGTATGGTGAAGCCAAAGACAAATTTCCATTTTGTGGACAATAAAAGTAACTAACTAACTTCCTGAGGTATACACACCTGTGTGAGGGTCGATGCGCACCACTCTTCCTCCACTGTAGCAGGCCAGCCATATTTTACCTTCTGCGTCAATGCACATGCCATCAGGAATGCCTTCGTCTTTCTCAAGCCTGTACACCATTCTGCGATTAGCTTAGGACAAAAACACACACACTTACACACTTACAAGCTGAGATTCAATTTGGATGTTTTACAAATTTTGTCTGAATTTCTGAAAAAGTCAGCATAAGAAGGAATCTGGGTTTCCTTTAACTGCTGATGTAAAAATCCTGAAAAATATCAAACGTAATTAAAAAAAAAAAAGTGAAGATTTATTTAGTCTATGGCTAATGATACATTAATGTTTGCCCCTCAGCAAATATTAAAACCTTTTTATTGATATTTATGGATTTTCCATTCAGGTTTTTAATGCACATTTCCATTCAAGTGTGAAAATAAAAAAAAAAATATCATAAAAAATATTTTCATAAAATACTAATCACAATTTCTTTTCATATGTGCCAGGCCTTCTAGATAACTCACCTAATCCTCCAGTGTGTATATCATAATCAAAGGCTTCCACCATGTACGTCAGACTGTCTACATAGTAGAAGAAGCGATGATCCGGAGACCAGTCCAACCCGTTGGAGAGGTCCACTTGATCGAAGTGTTTGACGACAGAGTGATCAGGGTGCAGACTGTACAGCGAGCCCTGTTTCCTCTCCAGCTCAGCCGGACGCACCTCAATCGCCATGGTGCCTGAGAAACAGGAAACGGCACAGAGGAGTGCACACTTACTTTAGTGCGGGATTGAACAAACAGCACAGTGGAGTACACTTTATATTAAGTGTGTGATAGCGATTAGCGTGGTGTGTTCGCAACGTAATTTGGAGTGCAGTAAGGGGCAACATGTACTTGTGTTAAGAGGGTAGCATAATAGTTTGTTGTATGATCTGAAATGTGACCTGGTGCACTTATTCGAGTATGTGAAAAGGGTAAGGCACTTAAACGTTCTTTTAACAGAACCCTCACACATCCAGTCATTCTCAGGTATATATACTATATTGGGTCACAAATCACACAAAAAGGCCAAGGCAGATTTTCATTTTACAACACCTGCTACCAGAAATTTGCATGCCTCTCTAGTACACGCAGAAACAAACTGTATGTAGGCCTATTTTTGCATATTTAATGACATCTCATTGGCAAAAGCTGTGTATACGTAATTTTAATATATTTGAAAAGTCTCAATCTGGGCGCACAGTGCTTAGGTTTCTGTCAGTGTGGAGTTTCAAATGTTCTCCTGATGTCTGCGTGGTGTTCCTCTGGGTTCTTTGGTTTCCTCCCAGCTCCCAAAAACATGCAGGTAGGTGGATTGGTGACTTTAATTTGCACCTAGGTGTGAATGCGTGTGTGAAAGTGTGTGTGCATGGTGCATGGTCCTATCCAGGGTGAATTCCCACGCCGTGATCAGTGTTCCTGGGATAGTCTCCAGACCTACCATGACCCTGACCAACTGTTTACTAAAGATGTATGAATGAAGATTAAATATATTATTTAAAAAGTTCCTTTGCATTCACTAAGAGCGGTTCAGCCTACAGTTTGAATACCACTGGTGTAGAGCAAAAAGTAAGCACAGTATTAACACAGAAGCTGTAAGCAGATGACACAGGGAGTATGCATTTGTTGCATAGTAAAGTACGGAAAGCAAGTTCCTGAACCAATTCATCCTTAGAAACTGTGAGTCCCTCACACACCTGCGAAAAACCTGCCAGCCGGATCCACCTTCCCATCATTAAAGCGGGTGTTGCTCTTTTCCGTGTCCACGTTAGCGATGGTCGTGATGGCACGCTTCTCCCAGTCTACAGCAGCGAAGCGCGTTCCCTCTCCGATCACGTACCCTCCTGACCTGCGTGGAACCACGCAGCCCACATACGTCTCTGTGGCAATAATAAAGATAAAATGAAGAATAACTATCCAATACAATGCCATTTTACAGATTATAAGATGGCCTTCATAAACTTTACATATGATATTAATCAGATAGGAGGTTCATGAGCAGTTATGTAAAAGTTGGAATTCAGGTCATTAACTAAAAGGTACAACAGTCAATTTTTTTCATTTCATACAAGTACAAATAATGTGGGAAATTATCCAGAAATTATAAAAATAATAGTTTCAGCCACTGTCTCAGAACAAGTGTATTACTTAGCTGAAAAAAAAAAAAAAACAGTTCGGAAACCTCTCTTCCGGTCCGGAATGTTTCTCTGTATTTGGATTGGCCTCTTGTCAGTCATTTTGTAGACACGCCCCCAGTGCCCCTTCACCTCCTCAGAAATCATTATGTGGTGAAGTTGCATGTTTATAGAGCTGTAACTTGACTTTCAAGCAACGTCCGAGTGCGCTTGAAAGTGAAGTCATGACAGTCCTTGCTAATGGTAACTCTAGTTAGCATGCTAAATCTAGTTGAACCACCATAAGTTTTGGGGGCGGAGCTTTGTGTACATGGGTGGAAATGGGGGTGGGCCCAATGAGTAAAAAATAAATAAATAAATAATTCAAATCATATTTAACAACTCCTCTGGTTTAATCATTGCACCTTTAAGATGTTGTTCAAAATTTCAACTGTTCAGCTGTTAAGTCAATAATAATTATTTTTTCAATCTAGCAGCAAGCACTGTTTTGAACAATTTTTGTTGCTTACTAGTGATGTATCTTTTGCGAATATGTTGATTCTTTGATCCGAACTTTTTAGATAAGCTGACTCGCATTTCTGAAGGGACGATATTTTGGGAAATGAGGACCAGACACTGAAAAGTCACCAGTATTGGAGTTGTTTGGCACAGAGCCAGTTTTAGTGAGAGTTAGATGTGTGTTTGACTCGTCTCTGTATGACTGAGGCAGCATGAGGGTACGTTATAATTATAGTTATATAATTAAATCGATTAAGTTGACATGAATTTCTTCAGTTTCTACTTTAACGGACGTCAAGCACAGACACAGGAGCACAATAACATTAATGCAGGAACAGCTGCTGTATTGGGTTAGTTAATGCAAATATGCAGCATCTTGCTGATTTTTATATTTATTTAAATAAGCAAGATTATTAAAAAAAAAACAGCTGGCAAGGGTGGACTCTTATTGGTGAACTGAATCGAATGATCTGATTCACTAATCAGTATTGCTTACTCCGGATCTCTGTATCTCTGATGTAGTAATGTTTTTAAGTCAAAGTACAGCTGATATCTGATTGGCTCACCTGTGTGCATACTCTCTATCTGATTGGTCAGTGAGTTCCACCTGCTGATCTTTGGGCCATAGATGTCGACATACAACAGAGTGGCATCTTTCTCCTCCCAGACTGGACCTTCTCCGATCTCATTCTGCTCCTTCACCACACACTCGACTTTGACAGTCCCCATAGCCTCTGAAAATGAGTTGAAGTGATTGAATAGGGTAATGTAAAGTACTGTAAAATTCTGTAAACAACTGCAAAACACATTTGGCTGATGCTTTGATGATGCACTATACAACTGAGCTGAAGATTAAGGGTCTTGATCATGGTCCCAACCGTGGCAGTTCGGCAGTTCTGGGATTTGAACACATGATCAGTGCATGAAAGCTGAGTGAGTTGTGATGGTTCAGTCATTAAGGCTTCGAGTTGCATATCAGAAGGTTGTGTGTTAAAATCCCAGCACTTCCATGGTCAGGTCCTTGAGCAAGACCCTTAACCTTTAGCTCAGCTGTATCCTTCACCAACTGTAAGTCAGTTTCTTTCTTTTTTTTTTTAAAACCATCAGACAAATCAGCAAATGTACTGGATAATATGTTATTTTATATTATGTAAGATATTACAGTACCTTACAGTAAATATGTTTAGTGTTGTTTACTGTAAATTGTACAGTACTTTTGTCAGCACATTACTATAAAATCAGCAGGTAAAATAAAGGTCCAAAACAACTGAGAGAGAGAGAGAGAGAGAGAGAAAGGAGGTAAGGAAGGAAGACAATGAAAGCTAGACAGAAGAGCTTGCTTTGTTTTGCATGGATCATTTCCTAACATTGACAGTTGGACACATGACAGAATGAACAGCTCTGACGATGAACTCTGGTCACGTGACTGCAGGCTTTGGCCAACGCAAGCGTCGAGAAAGTTGTCTTCGACTGATATTTATGCGCGAGCTTAGTTTTTTGCATTACCTTGCAAGTGAAAAGGCTGCTCCTTGTCGTCCAGTCGATGCCTAAATGTCTCTGTCTCTCTGTCTGTCTGTCTGTCTGCTCACTCTGGGGTTGTTTGCATGAGTGCTGTAAAGTTCCTCGAGCGCTTGGACTCGTGACGCGGCGGTGACACGAGCGCCATCTATCTGCAGCTCAGGAAAACAGCAGCGTTAATAAAGCACTGAGAGAGAAGCTGTTTGGACCTGAACACGACGATCTTATAACCTGGGGTTAAATTAGTACTGGGTAGTTAGGAGTTTTTCTTCAGGAGGCATGATGGCTTAGTGGTTAGCATGTTGCCTCGCACCTACAGGGTTGAGGGTTCGAACCCCTTCGTCCTGTGTGCACGGAGTTTGCATGTTCTCCCGGTGCTTCGGGGGTTTCCTCTGGGTGCTCCGGTTTCCTCCCCCAGTCCAAAGACATGCATCGTAGGCTGATTGGCATTTCCAGATTGTCTGTGTGTGACTGTGCCCTTTGATGGACTGGCATCCCGTCCAGGGTGTCCCCTGCCTTGTGCCCCGTGTCCCCTGGGATAGGCTCCAGGCTCCCATGTGACCCTGTGTAGGATAAGCAGTACAGAAAATGAATGGATGGATGGAGTCTTTCTTCGTTTATGGGTGCCACCAATGCAGAACATTTCATTCATTCATCCTGGTCAGGGTTGCGGTGAATCTGGAGCCTATCCCGGGAACACTGCAGGCAAAGCAGGTACAAACCTGGATACCACACCAGTCCGTTCCATTGCAGTGTGGAATCAGTACTGTTTTATTTATACGTGTTATTATAGTAATTTCTCATCACTGATGTGGATACCCCTGTTTCTGCCCAGTGGTCTGACCACAAATTTGTAATGTGATAGTTTTCAGTTGTTTATATAATATATATAAACATATGTCTGTGATGTTTCAGTGAACTTCACTCTAACACATCACATCTTCTTGCTTATTTAATGCAGTAATGTTTGCAGTTTATAAGAATAATTACTGTATTAGCCAAGCTGACATACACTGACGTACAAAGCACAAATATTACAGGTAGGAGTAGATCTTTCTGTCGTGTATGAGGAATAAAACCTGACAGGGTGTGCTGTTATAGGAAAATAATCAACAACAGAGTGGTGTAATACCATCCTGAAGTTATTCCAGGATTAATTTCCTGTAACAGCAAGCTGTTTCAGCGCAACTGTTATGACGTTCCACAGTCAAATGACATTTCTGTAGTAAATGTGTGATTCCGTATCATAATTTTAATATTACGGGGGAAAAACTAACATACTTCCAACATCAGCATGAAATCATTTCACAATGAAACAGGACAAAAAAAAAAACCCCAACAAAACACGGTTACTGTTTAATTAGACAATTATTTGCATTCCAAGTTATAAATATAAACATGAAAGCATACAGAAAATTAATTTATACACACATAAAGAAGGATGGTTCAGAATAAAAATAAAGCTGAGCATTAAATCATAATCACATTAAGTACAGTAAGTATGAAGTAACTGCAGTGTTAGTAAAAATTTGATAATAGATGGAATGAAACAGCTTGAGGGCTTGTTCTCTTTCTCTTTATCGCCTATATTAATCCACAGAGCTTCCTGAACGGTCTTCCATTAAGTGCATTTTCTAATGAAACGTCATTACAAGAGCTCAGAACACTGCGAGCAGAAAATGGGGAGAGCACTGATCTGATCACTATTTGGCAACGGGCAAAGTCACATTATGTTCTGGCTCATTTTTTGGTGGCAGTGGCCTTGGCGCGGTTAAGACGCTCTACCAGCGTGCGGTCTGTGGCGGGAGTACAGCGAGACAGGACAGTGCTGATCTCTCCCTCGTTCCTCCTCTCAATAGCTGCATCTGCTGCCCCTTCCAAATCACTGAGAGAAAAAAGATAAATAAATAAATGTATAACTTGATATTTTAAAAAAAAAATGCATCAAACACTAAGAAAAATCCTTACCCTACTGCCAGGTGGGCTTTGACCTTCTGCTCTGGTGTGACTTTCGACACATATTTCTTGGCCTCGAATTTGTTGTTTCGTTTCACGCACACTTCAACAAAGGGCTGCAGTTGGGAAACATCAGCTCAGCAAACATCACAGGACAGTTTTTATACAAGTCACATGGATTACAAAGTCTATGTTTCTCTTTACCATGTAGCCAATGGGTGATTTCTTGCTTTTGGCAAATTTCTCGAGCTCCTCCCAGTCTGCTTTATCAGCCAGTGCTGTCAGCTTCAGCCACCAATACCTGTGAGGAACAAACACTAATGTGTCTTACACATGCGAAACACTCTCTCTCTCTCCCTCAAATACTCTCTCTTTTAAAAGTAGAGAGAGTGCAAAAGTGATCATGGTTCATGTGCAAAAAGAAGGTGTAAGGCCGCAAAATTATATAATCTTAGTATTTTCATGACCATTGACACAGCTGGCACAATTGTACAAAGGGGCGGTGATTAAATGAATATAATATCAAGGGGTGTGGTTAAGTGATATCCAAAAAACAGCTCCTGTAAGTGCAATGCACCTCAGTGAAGATTTATATCAGCTAATTCCTCATGTACACCATGCCATTGCTGATTATTTTCCTATAACAGCACACTCAAGTGTTTTATTCGTTACATAACAGTACTTTTACTGACCCAGACGTGGTTAGTGATTTATTATTGCGCAGTTTGCAGTGGTTCGGTTTGTACCTGAATCTTTATTCACCACAGACAGACATGTACCTCTTATCAGGCACTCTGAAGTCCTTGTAGAGCTGCTCGGCGAGCTTGTGCAGACCCAGAGACAGCAGGGTGCTCAGAGTGTCATGCAGAGAGAAACCCAGGAGGTACTCGCCTTTATCCTCCTCTAGCTTCCTCTGGAAACGCAACAGACGCATCTCATCCTCTGTGGCCTAAACAAAAGAGACAGAGACCAAATATATGATCATAAATGTAATAGTTCTGTGAGTAAGCATGCATAATTCACCTATACAAACTATCATCTCAGTATATTTTCAGTGCCAGGTGAGGTTCACTCATCAGAGAGATGGAGAAGTTCCTGTACATTTACATTTACTTTCACGTTGTATTTCTCACCTTGGCAGCAAATTCATTCTTAGCCTTGTTGTACTCATCTACTGCACTTTGTAATAAAGACATTCGAGCCTCCAGCCTCTGCCAAACATGCACACAGACAGTGGATTAGTTAGAACACAATGAACAAAAGTCTCTTACTGAGAATCTATAGTCTCTTCGGATCCTACCTTTTCTTTGTAACTAGCTTTCACGTAGAAATTTCCCAGTTCCTGGTGATCGTCATCCTGATTAAAGAGATCCTTCAGCGTATCCTGTTCCTGATGCTTACAGAACTGAAACACACATACGAGGAAGTGAAACGCACAAATCCACGCTGAGTTAAATGCTAACACACAGTGAAGTGGGTATGGTACCTGTCTATAGAGGCTAAGGGCTACAGGCTGGTTCCTAAGAGTCATGAAGAAGTCTCCTCTGTTCATCTCATTCTTCAGGTATGTTACCACTGTATACACTGTGAAGACGAGAAAAATCAGGGCTTTAACTAGAATGGATGTTAATTAACGTTATCACTTATGTTATAGCAGTTGTAGACCATCATTCTCTCACCAGCTTATAACTCTTGAAGTTAATGAGACAAAAAAGAGCAGCCTATGTTACCAAGAAACCACAAAACACAAAATCTTCTGTCCTTAGACCTTCCTGTGGCAGAAACACTTAGTTACAGCTTTACCCCTGACTGTTACAAAGCCGTGACACTGGAGACTCCTTCCATAAACTAAATGTCTCCTTACAGAAAACGTCACCACATAAATGACTATACAGTTTTCTTTGTTAAACAACAGCACATTTTTAAAGCAATTTATTATTAAACTTCCTTTGTGGCTAATATTTTGCAAGACCTTGCATTTCCCAAAATCGATAGTTATTTTAAAAATGTAATAGTGTGTCATAAATGACACATTTATTCAGATTTGTTTTCCCCTACATCAAGCAGGAGTTTTATAAACAGGACGTTTGTAGACATTTCAGTAACTTTGGGTTGGGTGTGTGGTCAGATCAGTGTATCTGTGTTCAGAATGTTTGTTGTGTTGAATCTATACTGCCAAGTTCCGCATTCAATGTGTATCTGTGTGTGTGTGTGTGTGTGTGTGTGTATACCAAGGTCCGTATCTCCACTCTCGATAGCTTTGCTGAGTGCTAACTGGCTCCTCTTCATCCTCAGCAGCAGAGGAACCTGCTCACCAGAGCGAGGCTCAAACTCCAGCAGCTGAGAAAGAGAGAAGAGAGAAATGAAAAAAGAAAAGCACTGAGAACCATAGAATGTGTGTGAATAGAAGTCAAAGTTCCAGCACTTTGTGTGTGTGTGTGTGTGTTTGTGTATACCTTTATAGCGAGTTCAGTGCGTCCACACTCGTAGGCTTTATTTGCGATCTCGGAGTAGGAGATTCCAGCAGCATCACCCAGCTTTAAACTGATGGTCCTTGCAATGACCTCATCAGCCTCCTCTTTCTGCTGCACCTACACACACACACACACACACACACACACACACACACACACACACACACACACAGAGCAGCTATCACTCTATCAGCTGTCTCTATCACTTACACACTCACAGCAGCTAACACTCTCTCTATAACTATTCTAATGACTTGATCCTGTGGTGGGTGGAAACACACTAATCAGCGAGTTACAAGAAATAAAAATCATTTGGGATGATATGAAGGGTGGGCAGGGGGAGCCACGGCCACCCCTGCCTTAGTGTGGCTCTGCCTCTACACCGTACCTTGCAGCAGGCCCAGTGTTTGAGCACTCGACTCACACCCTGATACTCAGGAGTTTTCAGATAGCGACAGATCTCGATGGCCAGAGGATACAACCTGCGATATACTAGTCTAAGAAAGAAAGAAAGAAAGAAGGAGAAAGAGAAGGATGAGAGAAACAGAGTAATTAAATTATAAAAAAGGAATAAGACATAATGAATTTCAATATTCAATATTAAATACTGTACTAATCCTTCAATATAAAGCACAAAGATGATTTTCTGCTTTTTATTTTTTCTTTTTATAAAACTTTTTCTTCATCACTTTTTCCTCTCTTTCTCATTTTATATTTCTTGTTTATTAGTGAAGTGAAGTGAAGTGACTTGTGGCCAAGTATGGTGACCCATACTCGGAATTTGTGCTCTGCATTTAACCCATCCAAGTGCGCACACACACAGTAGTGAACACACACACACACACACCCAGAGCAGTGGGCAGCCTTTATTTTTTTTTGTTGCGGCGCCCGGGGAGCACTTGGGGGTTCGGTGCCTT